AAGGAAAACTGTCGAATTACTTTTAACTGTATATTGCCCTCAAACAGAAAAATTCCGTGTCTCCACTCGTCTTTAACATCGCTTTGGAGAGCATCACCTAGAAAGCAAATAAAGAAAATCTCACAGTTTAATAATCGAGAAATATTAGAGAAATTCGTGAACCTGTTATGCATAATATCACAAATCAGTACAGAGTGCGAAACAACCGAAAACTAATGGATTATAACATCCAGCCGGATGAAGTAAAAACATCAAATGAAACGATAAATAAAATATGTAATAATAAATATTGTGGCATCTTCCTTGCATTATATCCAAAACATTTAAAACAATAAAGTCAGACATATTGACTGGATTAGGGATTACTGAATACTATAGAATACAGGTAGTTATTCATAACTGTTGTAAGCTTTTATTTTTGTTAATGACAGCATCAAACATTATATCAGAAATATATTTTCTCTTTCTCCCTAAGTGGTATTCGAGAGACCATTAAAATGTTAAGGTAATGTACAGTACCTTTGAAAATTCGGTTCGTCGATTGCTTCCAAAATTTGTTGTCCTGTAAGTGCAGCCCATGGTTGGAATCCATACGAAAACATCTCCCAAAGTGTTACTCCAAATGCCCAAACATCGCTAGCGGTAGTAAAACGTAAATAACTGATGCATTCCGGCGCACACCACGCTATGGGTAATTTTAAATTTACATTAAAATTGGTTTGATAGTAGTCCTTGCCTTGCCCAAGAGCTCGACTTAGGCCGAAATCGGATATCTTAACTTTGTTCTTAGAAAATACTAGGATGTTGCGAGCTGCTAAATCCCTAAAATAAATATATATTTTAATTAAAAAATATATTACTTATATATTTTAATATAAAACACTGTAAAATGCATATTTGTCTCAAAGAACATGATTATAAAATAATTGGGGAAACATTCAATTTTTAGCTCCTTGAAACTTGCAAAAATATCATTGTCATCAGTAGAAGGCAGTGTCGTTTTACATATGAGATAAATTTGTGACAGCTTTTGTATACGCGTATTTCTTCACTAAATAATCCACTTCTGTTAACATCCTCAACAGTTTGACAACATGCCTCATGATGATGCCAGCACATCATCTAGGGAATTTAATAAAACAACTAGGTCAGAAAATAGTCGAAAAAGTCCCAGGACCGAAATTAGAAGATTTGTTGAGGGGGGAGCCGATCCCCCTTCCACACCTACATCACACCACTAAAGCCGTCATTCACGTTCCAACGGCTCAGTACGATTTTGTCGAATGCAATTCCAGTATAATAATGTTGAAAATCGAATGAGAACACACATGTAACGATTTTGCAGTATGAGTTTCACTTTCAGAAACATGTCAGATAACGATATACTTTTAGCGGCTCTTGATCTTTGTACAAACGAAATAACTACAAAAAAACGTAGGTGGTGGTGCAAAAAATAGCTTATAAGCTATGTAGAGTCATACGTCGCCATGTTACCAATTTCAACGGTAACTTGACCATCCTAGTTTCTAATAATATATAATGTAACTTCTTCTTAACATGCCATACACCAAGTACGTAAGCGACTATCTCATTGCTAGAATTCTGTTCTTGACGGCGTGACACAGCTCGCCTGTATTGTGTATTCCTGTCCATTCTTTAATATTCCTTAACCAGGACAATTGTTTGCGGCCGGTTCCTCTCCTACCTTCGATCTTCCCTTGTAGGATTAACTGTGGTATTTCATATTTTGCTCCTCTCAATATGTGCCCAAGGTAACCAATCTTGCGTTTTTTAATTAATTCAAAGAGTTCTCTTTCCACGCCGGCTCTCTTAAGGACGTCATCGTTTCGAACTCTATCCACCCAAGGTATGCGCATCATTCTTCTCAATGACCACATTTCAAATGCTTCAAGTTTGTTGATAGTTGTTTTTTTCAAAGTCCACGTTTCCATGCCATAAAACAAGATGGACCATATGTAGCACTTGACCATTCTGTAGCGTATTTCGAAATTTAGGTTATGATTACATAGGAGCGATCTGAATTTCACAAAAGCTTGTCTTGCCATTTGTATTCGGCTTTTTTTGTGTTGTGGATCCGATTGGTCATTGATTGTGGTGCCAAGGTATTTAAATAAAAGTTTTCACGCGTTTTATACGATCGTCACCTATGTATATTATCGGGTTTTCTGGAGGGTTTCTGCTAATGACCATATATTTCGTTTGCAAAATGTTGATTTTGAGGCCATATTTTTTACCTATGCTATTCACCCTATCAAGTAATAACTGCTGATCTTCCAAATTATCAGTTATAATCACTGTGTCGTCCGCATCGCGTAGGTTGCTAATTGGTATGCCGTTCACCTTAATGCCTAATTCCGTGTCTTCTAATGCTTTCGCAAATATATTTTCAACATATAAATTAAAAAACATCGGAGAAAGTATGCAGCCTTGGCGGACACCTTTCCGGATTTCAAATTCATCCGTATATTGGTCTTGATCAATCCTCACCTTTGCCATTTGGTTCCAGTATAGATTCTGAATAATTTGGATCTCCTTCTGGTCAATGTTGGCCCTATGTAGTAGTTCGATCATGATATCATGTTTAACATTGTCAAATGCATTCTCGTAGTCGATGAAGGTGAGGTAGACATCTTTTCGTTGATCTAAGCAGATTTGTATTAAGGTATTCAAACATAAAATTGCCTCTATTGTTCCTCTCTTAAAACCGAATTGTGTTGACTCGCTAAGTTCTTCTAGTATCTTGTACATTCTTGAGTGTAATATCCTAAGGAAGAGTTTCAGCAAGTGACTCATTAAACTGATTAAGCGGTGTTCATTGCATTTTGTGGCATTAGCTGTTTTTGACATAGTTTTTGTATAAATTCTATTGAACAGCCTTACCAAGATTTCGATATTCTCCTCGTCTAGTAGTTTTAGTTTTATTGCTTCTATATTAATTTCATCTGGACCTGTTGCTTTATGCATCTTTGTGATTCTAACTGCATATTATATTTCACTTCACATTATTGATGGCCCTGATAAGTTTTCGGAAGGAAGTTTGCGCGTTGGTTGTGTTGGTCTTTCGTCATTAAAAAGGCTTTCTGCGTAATCTTTCCACGCCATTGCTATCTCCTCTTCTGACTATGTATTCGTTTCTGTCGTTGCGTATTTTTGTTCTGTGGTGGCTTTTATGTATATTCGATATTTCCTTGATCTTCTGATGTAGTCCAAAACTATCTCCTTTTTCCTGCAATATGAACTTGTAAAGTTTTCTCATCTGATGACTCGTCTTGAGAAAGACGAGCTATTTCTTACATGACTTACAACTAAGAAAGTCGAAATAAACATCAGGTTGTTGTCTTCGGTGGCTTGCCTTGACAAAGGCAAGATATTTCTTACATGACTAAATAGTAGTCGAAATAAAACACCAAATATTGTAGTAGAATAAATACTCAGCCACAGAGTATGGGAAAAAGCTAAAAAGAAAGCAGAGCCCCGAGAGCACTAAGCTCTCGGAGAGCCCGTGAAGGACTGACCTATTGACCTGAAAATCGCCCATTTTTATACTTTCTGAAGTAGCGATTAGGGATTTCTAGTCGCGTCCGAGAACAAAACATACATGCTTAATTTTATTTAAGAATTTATATTGTGTGAAATGCCCACTGACTATTAGTGCTTTGTCTCTTAGTGTAGATATTAAGTTTACTGTTTTCTCTGTTCTCCTGGTTGTGATAATGTAATTCGCAGCTTGGCCATGAAATTTCAAAGGACTGTCGCTTCTCTGTGTTCGTAGTTCTCTGGTAATGGGTTTAAAATACACAGATTTAGATTACAAAGAAATATCTCAAAATAAATGATGTAATACATCAATGACCAAATTCATTTAGCATTAACATGCATAAATAACGATGATTTATACTTACCAAAGAATGTGTAATCTGATAAGACTTACAAAAGGAGATTGATACTTTTAACATCTGGATATTTCGTTTAAACATAATATTTCAAGATTTTTAAACAGCTTTCATTCACGTGGAATAAAGGATATTAAATCATGATAATTATAATTTGCTTTTATTACATTATTGAGTAGCACAGATAAAAAAGTGTCAACTAGTAACTCTACTTACAATTTTACTCCATTTCTAAATATCAGTATTACAATAACTACTTACTATCAATTATATTTTATAGATCAATTTAACATGTTCCTGATTCTTTTTCAATTCTCTACTATTAACTCCATCTTTCCACCTTAGAATAATATAGATAATACTGTCATAATAGTTGTTTATTTTAACCTATTCACTGAAAATTTTACAATGGGAATTCACTCTCTAAAATATTGCGATTACCATAACTCCTAAATAAATGAAAATCAAACAAACATGTCATTTAAGTAGATATGTTAACAAAATTTAAATGTTATTTTTACAATTGTAAGTCTTGAAATATTCACTTTGTTTACATATAATAATTATTATAATAAATTTAGAGTTTTCTCCTAAAGAAGTCACAAAATCGTGACGAAATATTAAGACATAGAACAAATAGAGTTTTATTTCTTACAGACTGATTGCTGATACTATAAATCAATATTTAACACAGTACGGTCCAAAATAATTTGAAAAATAATGTATGTATGTATATATATATATATATATATATATATATATATAATATATATATATATATATATATATATAACAAACAACAAAGTTTATTGGGGCTGCAGTCAGAAGTTTGGCCGGGATGTTACAGAAACACTCTTTTGACTTTTGGTCTAGCTTTCGGAATTGTTTAATTCCTTTATCAAGACATTGTAATTAGAAAAATGTGTAAATATTTACAATATATCACAAAATGTTAGTGTACTTACTAGTCGTTGAGATTATTTGTAAGAAGCTATGACACTCAACATTAATAACAAACATATAGGTAAACTATAACTTATACAATAATGGATACAATACATTTTAAAATTTAGTTAAAAATAATAAAAGTTCTAAAAATTCGTTTTCTACATCTTTTTGGTGTGTTTTAACTTACCCATAGAGAATAAAAAAAAAACAAAAATAAAAATAGTATGATTAAAAATTCATTAGGAGTTCTTCATATGTTATTATGCCGTCTCCCTACGGAGGTTGGCAATCATAATGGCTATTTTTATTTTACAACTTGCTGCTCTAACCAAATCAATCGATCCGCATTGATACCAATCACATAGATTATTTAACCATGAGTTCTGCCTTTGGCCAACAGATCTTCCTTGAATCTTTCCCTGTATTATCAGTCTCAAAATTTCATATTTTGACCCCTCATCACGTGGCATAGGTATTCCAGTGTTCTGGTTTGTATAGTGGTGATTAGTTCTGTTTCTTTACCAACCCTCTCCAGTACTTCTTTATTTGTAATTCTATCAGTCCATGATATGGCCTGATTATGACTGGCTATTATATAGTGACTATCGATATCAACAAACTACACAGTGTAGTCGGGATGTTAAAGAAACACTCTTTTGACTTTTGGTCTAGCTTTAAGAACTTGGACTTGGAACCGATATTTTATCTGACCATGTTGTACCTTTCGCTCCTTATATTAATAAATTTTTTTTTGCCAATGTACAATAATGCAAGACCTCATGTTGCATGCACTGTAACCAAATATTTACAAACAGGTAAATCTTCGGACTTTAAATTGACCACCGCATGGTCCAGGTTTAACTCGATGAAACATTTGTAGGACATAATTGGCAGAAGACTACGACAGCATTGCCATCTCCTAGATCCTTACCACATGTAGAAACAGTAGCTCTCGAGCTT